GGGAGCCAGACCCCAGACCACCCAGCCATGTGTACCCCTGCAACAATGTGGGGTTTCAGAGCTCTCAGCACGGAGGGCACAAATACCGACTGCAGGGAGATGTGCAGCACCTGGGCACTGTGGCCAAGGTAGCTGATGAGCCCTGGGGAGCCCTGTGCTGTCCCTGCACATGCAGAGGGGACATTGTGACAAACTAAGGACAGGAGCCTGCACTTCAAGCCCTCCAAGTGATTGACAATAAAAACACTGCCCCGGTGCCCATTTTCAGATCTGGACAGCAAGAATTGAGGACTCCAGGGAAAATCCATGTTTTTACAGTTTGTGATATTATTGAGCTTTTCTGGTGCCAATTTTAAAACACTACTATGACCTCTGGAAAGAGGGGAAACTGCATTTCAGCACAACAACGCAGAAAAGAACAAAAAAAGGAAACTTGTTATTTTTTTAAGCTTGAAACACTAGTCAGGTTAAGAGAAAGGAGCAGAATTCTGGCAAGGACAAGAGCACTCAGACTGAACCACAACACAGTAATTAGGGCCAGTAGGTCATTAGACACACAGCTGTATAAACTAGGTGTATAATTAAGTTTCCACACTGCTTTTTCACAACTGTATTTCAGTTTCTTTTGTAGAGGACAATCAGTAATTCATTAATTTAAAGATGTAACAAAAGCAGCAGCAAAAATAGAGAAAAAATACTAATTTGCCAATCAGGTGCAAACAAAGATGACAATTTTGGGAAAGGCTAATTTTGGAAATGTATATAAGACATCTCTCTTTGTCAGTGGGAAGTAAAAAATGCCACCTGACAAAAACATTCATGAGACATTGTCACTTGTTGACAAGCTGCTGTATATGTGTTTCTGGATAAGCATCCCGCAAATGGGGTTGCATGGCAATTATCATTCTTGTAGCAGGTGAAATAAAAGAAAATGCAAAATTATACACTAGCATGAAACAGTTACAGTACCTCGTTTCAAATGTAAGCCTACAAGTTATAGGGCATTTAAAAGGAGCAACTGCAAGACTTTAATTATAAACTAGTTCCTACCGTACAGTAGTTTAGAAAAATCAGCTGCTTCCAAGCTGGCAATATCCATATATAGCTCTGCTGCTGTTTGAAACAGACAACCTGTAAAGTTATCAACAACAGAAGAGGACCTCATGAAATGCTCAGAGACCCAGCCAAAACCTACTTCTGTCCGCTTCACTGATGTGCTAATTTGCTTAAAAATCTCTACATTCACTTGAGAATCTGAAGAAAAAACTTCACCTGAGACTATTCTAACCCATTGAAGGAAAGGGGTGGAGGAAGCAAAAAAAAAACAAAACAAAAAACCACAATAAAATACTGGAGCTAAACCCAGATTAATGCAGGATTAAACACACAAGCCAAATGACAAAGCTTGTGACTTTTTAGCCACTTTTTGTCAGACAACAAATCACCTGGCACCAGCCACCAGACAGTGACCTATCACAAAATAGTTTCTTGACGTAGGGAGCCTCTGGTGCTTGTTGTAGGACACAGTAAATTGTAAATCCACATGTAGTTCTTTACTCTTGTTACTAATGCTGTAAGATAGTATCATGCTACACCTACACTGTAACAGCAGCGTGCAAAAACATATAAAAAAGGCTGCACATGATGCCAATGGCAATTACTTAGCCCTCTCTAGTTGAGGGGATATGGGATACCAGTGAGTTTTAAAGTCATTTTAAAAGCTTAACACATCCAGTGTATACGCTAGGTGTTTTTATTTGTTCTCAGAGTATTTTTCAAGATGCTGCTGTTTAAGAAAACAGTTTAAGGCACTGTTTCCAGGACTGCTGCAGGAGTGCTTGTTTGTGGGGGCAAGCTGGGAAACAAGGGAAAATATAAACCAGTAAGGAAAAGTGATGTTCTTTTGGTACAAGCTGCCCCATTTAGGCCCCTTTCAGATCCCCATAGACACTGGGAACCTACAACCTGCAATCACAGACACCAGTCATGAGCAAAAGGTATAAAAGGCACCTAATTCTGTCAGAAGGAGAACATCTCTACTACACTGACATCAAAAGGAATGCCATGCACCTATGCTACCAGAGATGTCTAGATTTCATCAGTGTTTTGTCCTCAAAGAAACAAGGCTGAAATACATGAAAAAGCAAGGAGGGGAATGGCTGTTTGTTACTTCCTTACATGTCAAAGCAGCTGTGTTCAAACTGTATTATAACTTCAGCACGCTGTAATGAATTTCTAAGGGATTCCAGTGAAATAGATGGTTTATCCTGTTCTTTGGAGTGATCTCTTGTAATCCTGCAACACTCCTGAGCTACAATACCTTCCTAACTTCAGTATCCCAAAGGAAGTCATTAGTTATGTTATATTATCAGCCTGGTGATATTATCACTACAAATATTACCTGTATTGATCTGGAGCCATGTAGACATGACTGAAAGCCCTGCTTCAGATTAAGACATGAAAATCTAGCTTGCCAAGAGGTCAGGCACTGCATTACACCCTCAGGTGTGTCAGGCAGGTATCACAGGGAAAAGGAGTGCAGGGTAACTAAGGACACAGGCAAGTAGCTCTTTATGTAGGGTAAATCTTTCAATACAACACACTTTCTAATGAGGTCTTAGGTTTTCACCCAGGTGGTGCAAGTCTTTTTAGATGAACTGAACAAAGACACACATTTTGCATGCTTTCCTCAAAAATCCTCATGATTATCAGACCATGTATCAAACTGGTGTATCTGAAAGGGTTGTTTTTTCCTCAAGGTATGGTATGTGAATATCAAGCAATATTTCAGATTGTCTTCGTGGAAACATTCTCATTCCAAAATATAGCCCAAAATATAGGAGTGCAATCTTCCTATTTACTTTAAATCACTTCAGGACACTAGATTAAACTAAATAGAAAACAGACACTCTAGTTCTGGAACAAGGATTATCCTCACATGGAGACAATTAGCACTAATTTCACATATACGCAGATAGTTATATGGTGCCTTTTTTGGACAAAATGTCTTTGTAAATAATCCATACACGTGAAGACAGTAAAATAAGACAAAATTATGTTACCTGCAATCAAGAATAGCAATGGGAATACTGAAAAATTATTTTGATGTATCCCTAAAAATAGAATTTTTCTTAGTCTCACTAAGAGAATACTACACTGAGGATTAAAAAAAAAAACAACCTGAGGTGTGAAAACACTGACTGAATTTACATTAATAGCATCTCTAGGTTGCTATGTTTTAATGCAGATTTGCCTCTGGAAAAGAATTGTTCCTTTTCATAGCGCTGCTGTCACCTGTCATAACCTTACACTCGTGCTCTGGAGTCCCTATCAGCAGTGCCCACTGCCCTCTGCCATTGTGCCATTACAGCTGTTTGGGGACCGCACAGGGACCAGACCCAAGCAGACATTTGGGCTAAGAAGAGCCTCCTTTTGTGGGGCTCAGCCCAGCACCAAAGCAGCTGTCCCAGCACAACTGAGGAGAGCAGGCAGTGATGGAGCAGTGGCCACCCAGGGCACTTCTTCTTGGAAAGGACCAGTGTCCACACGGGCACTTTGCCTTCCAGTTGGGAAAACTTTCTGAATAGAAAGTTACATGTTCTTGCTTACTCCCCTGCAGCAGAGTGCCATGTGCAGAAGTCTCAGGCCATTGCTGTGGCTGTCAGCTGGCTGGGAAATTACCCTGCAAGAAGTGGCCTTTTGATTTTACGCACTTTCAAGTTTGCAGCCTGTGTAGGGCTTAAATCAGAGTGCAGAGCAGGGAGCCCTGGGGGCAGGCTTAGGACTGCAATCCCTATCCAACTGCAAGCATAGCAAAAGCCCCAACATCCCTCTGTCCTTCCTCCCACCAAGCAGATGGGAACAAGAGCAGGGAGTCCTCCCCTCTGCAAGCCAGAGCGAGACAAGGGAGGGTGCTCTTGGGGTGGGAGTCAGACCAAGCCAAAGCCTCCACCTGACACTCCCTCCTTTGCTGTATTCTATCCCCTGTATTTTTTCTTGGCTGATAATCATTTTACTTATGCCCAAAAAGGAGAGCAGAAAACATAGACTAATTACAAAACAAATTAAGTGGCCAGGAGGAATATGCACTCAGGGGAAAGATGATGGGATACTGCTGCACCAGAGAAGAAACTAACCCTTCTGCCTTCTGCCAGCCTTGACCTACCCGTCTGCCATAACAGCAACTGCCTAAAAATAACTTAGATGAGTGTGGAGGAAGACGTGATGGCAGAGTATTCAACTCTGGGAAGGTGAAAGATAAGAATCCCTGATTTAAATACATATGAACATATTCTGTGCTCCCCCTCCTAAGATTTTATTTAATCTTTGGTAAAATCTGCAAAGCTTTTCCCTACCCCTGTAAATCGGCTTAGCGTGCTCAGCTGAGTACCTGCTGCTACCGCCGGCCATGCAGAGGCAGCCCTGGAAAAGCAAGGTATGTTGCAATTGTTCACACCAGTGCTCTGAGCTTGTTCTTACTTTACAGAGAGTAAAATCAAGATCAGCGTAGGCTGATGCCATCCTCACTTCCATAAAATTCAAAAGGCAATGTAATAATAACCTAGGGAGAATGCTGTATTTTTAGGGTGGGATTACAGAACTCGCACTATGAATTTTAATCTCAGGAATCATCATGTTCTTTTAGGGGTTCAGAGGCCTTTTTTCCTGGGAGTTTTGCACACTTCAGTCATTTAACTTTTTTAATCTTCCTACATTTGGAGAGAGAGGGAAAAATACCTGCCTGAAACTTCCAGTATTAAAAAACCCCACAACATTTTTGTCTAACATAATTACTGACATATTCCAATTGGAAAGCTGTTGCTTTTATTTTAATTTTATTAAAGGAGTGAACAAAGGCTACCCAAGGCACCACAATAAAATTACATTAACTGTAAAATTACATTATTAATTCTTTAATCTCACTTGAGGCCTCAAGCTGTTGCTATGTCCAATTACCCAGCTAACCACCTGTCAGAACTGTAAAGCTAGTTTAACATTACCTCCAGGACAGTTGTGTGCCCTGTGTTCAGTCAGGTCTGCCAGTGAATCGAAGTCCTGCTGACAGTTATCGCAGGTGTAAATTGACTCATCCTCCATGTCTTCATCTTCCTCATTTCTCTCTTCCTGGCTCGTCACACTGTTCCTCTCTTCCAGGGCCCGGCTGTCCTTCGCTTCGCTCTCCAGCTCTCCTCCCAGGCCACCTGCCAACAGCAAGAACATCCTCTAAGTTTGAAAGGTCTGAAAAATAAGAGCTTTAAGAAGGATGTTGCGCTTATTAAGATACATTTAATTACAGCCGCTCTCACATTATTCCCGACACCTTTCATTATATTAATGTGGTTTTCATATCATGTGGTGCAACAATTCTCAACTGTATTCTCTGCTGCTTAGTGCGAATCCTGCAAACACTCTCTCCTAATCTTCTCTGGTGGGTGTATAGCGGGAGCCTCTAACTCTGTCATATAAAGTTGTTAGTGTTTTATCACTTAACCAGATTCTCAAAGCTTTAAAAATTGGCAAGATTAATTACAGCCCGCAAAGAAAAGGCATGTGCTGAATTTTAATTCTCAGTGCTCTCCTCTTCCCACCGCCCCCAAGCCCCAATATTAGTAACAACAAGCAAAAAAGATGCTCTAGCTGAATATCCCAAAGCACACACATACCCCAGGACATGAGAGGTCTTGCTGAACTAATGAGAGGCACTTGGCTGGGCAGATGAGCCTGACATTGTGCTGACCTAGCTGAGAGCAGATACAGTGCATCTGACCTTCAGGTCTCTCCAATATTTTTTATCTTGGTCTGTGGCCAGAGTGTGGGCTAGCACATACATCTTTGCCAACCCCCCCAAGTTTTTGTCTGCATTTGTGCTCAGGGAGATTGAGCTCTCTGACAGCTCCAGAAACTCCCCAGTGTGGGGGGCTGAGCACCACAGGGCTGTGCAGGTGGCAGCTCCACACAGGGGGCAGCTGGCTCTCCGCTGGCCATAGTGGGGGTGGCAGTGGTGGCAGGACAGCTGCTCACTCCCCCCAGGACACCCTCAGTGGCCTTTGTGAGGGATAAGCTTGCAGCCACCTCCTCCTGCCTCCAGGACACCCCCTTAGCCATAGTGGACACCCAGATGTGCCTGAGGCCAGTTCATGCAGCACTGCAGACAGCCCTTGCTTGGGCTCTCTGGAGAGGCCACAGAGCTGAAAATTCCCTTCTAAGTCCCTGCTGCCCTCTCAGCAGGGAAAGCATCCATGAGGCACACTAGCCATGGTGGCCAGGCTTTGGTGACCAGCTGAAACAGAGCTGCCTCTGCCTCTTCTGCACACAGGCTCCCAACAGAGGTGGTACAGCCCCAGGTGCTACACCTGCACTATTTCACTGGCCTCCACAAGAACTCATGCTCTTAATGCACCCTGTCAGTGTGATGGGAACACTTGGGAAGTCATTCACAAAGTGAAACAGAGCCACAGACTGCCAGCAGAAGAGATCCTTGCACACTGGCTGACCCCAAAAGCCCAGGAGCTGCTCTCAGCCACATAGGAGGGAGATGCCACCTTGTTGGTTTGGGAGCATTTGGGTTTTAAGCCATTAAGGAAGGACCAGCAAACAGAGAGGTGAATTGTTTATAAAATCAGATCAGTGACAAAAAGATTAAGGACAATCAATGCTGAGAACATGAAGCCAAGCTGAAAATAAAATTTATTAAAGACGAAAACTAGTTACCACAAGCACTGCAATTCAGACACACACGGCTAGAGCTCTGCTACCACTATCCAGCCAGAGCACATTTCATATCGTCTTCTGCTCTGCGCATGGTAACATAAATCAGCTGGTGTAAAACACTCTGCAGCTTGCCATGGAGCACTCGTAACATGACGTACCCTTCCAATTGCAATGGAAATATTAAAAATCAGAGCCTGCGTTGGTGTGTCACAGCCTCCCTCTTAGCAGTTAACTGATCTGCACATTTTCAGATTCTTTTACTGCTAAATTATACATACCTTTCTACTACAAAAATTTCCATTAAGGGCGAGATATAGTATTCATCTTACCAAATCAGATATGCTACTAGCACAGCAGTAATGAATTTAAGGATTTAGTTATAAAAAGTATCACTCACTAAGCACTCTATATTGTAAGTCATAATCTATACTATGTTTATTCAATAAAATGCCACTAGCTGAACCTCATGCTTTATAGAGTCTTCCTTAAATAAAAATGTCTTGTAATGAAAAAGACCCCACAATTCTGGTTCTCTTATATTACCACTTCACCAAATAGTAAGTCACTTTTAGACCTATGCTAGCTTTGCTTTATTTCACACATCATTTAATGTATATATTCAAATTATCACTTATATTTTGTCATATTTACTTGGCACACCTTTATACAGGGTCTCATTCCAGACTGCAATCACAAACATTTTAGCTCATTCAATCTTTTTAAAGCCTACGTCCTGCAGACTTGATAGTTAATAAATCAGAATGTCAACTCGCCAGTTTTATGACAGAAACCTATAAAAAGATTCCAAGCATATAAATGTAACCTAAAGAATTGGCACCTGCATCCATGCTGCCTGCTGACAAAGGCCTCGGGGAAGCACTTCTGAACCGACTTTGCCACAGCCTGAAGAAGAAAGGTTTAGGCAACTTTGGGGAGCTTTAAGGGACCTTCACTAATATTTTTAGCAGAACTGCTGTCTTTTGAGAGTTAACCTAAAGACCAGCTGATCTGGTGAGTACACTGTGACAAATTCATCCTTGGTTTTACTCCAACACTTCGTGACTACACCAGGGATAAAGCTGCTCGACCGAGTCCAACAATAACAAATAATTTAGCACACTGCTTTAGGAAAAGTAAATTGTACAATGTGAGATAAGAAAATAGATTCCCCACTGCAAAGCAAAATTCCAGAAACATTTTTTAATTCCCTGTTGAATGGGAAATCTGATCCTCTAGGCAACTTCTCAAAGGCGTCGTTGCTTGACAGAGCTGTATGTCAAATAGCACAAGAGTGAAGCTTGCAGAAATTATTTAGCAAATGCAACACTGCTTTACAATGGGATTTTTTTCTGGTTTTGGCAAGTTGAAGGAATTGTACACGTCTGCCACACCTCGGTGTTACTGTCCTTCAAACAAAATGGTCTTCAGATTCCTCTGCTGAGAGCTGCACACTCCGTGCTCGCCTTGCTATTACCAAACTCTGCTGAGAAAAATCTGTGGTGTTTCTTGGGTTTTTGACCTTTGTCTCTACTCTTCTGACCACAGGCTGCCAGCAGGGTGTGTGGGGTGCGGGCGGCCCTGGGGAGACACTCGCTCCTTGCCCAGGGGAGCACAACAGCCAGGGCAGTGATGGGAATGGGTGGTCCAGCCAGCAAGGAAAAGCCTCAAACGCAGCCCAGCTGCTCCCGCAATGAGCTCAGTTTCCCTGATGAGGACAGCAGGCCACGAGCATTCCTCGGGAACTCGTTTCTGCAGAGCTCTGCTGTAGCAGTTCACAAATTTAACCTGCAATTTTCCTGCCGGCAACAGCTGCAGGAGCACCTTGCCTGTGGGTGCAAGCACTGCCAGAGGGGTTTGGGTCACCACAGGAGGCCAAGATGCTGCTGGCACCACAAGCAGGCTTTGGAGCTGGGCCTGGCTCTGAGGGGACACGTCTGTGCACCACCAAGCAAAGGGGTTTCTTGGTTGCCAGAGCCAACAGGACCTTTTGCAGTCACCAAAAATCAGTGGCTGCCTTGTGGCACCAAGCACAGATAGGTACATTTAGTGCCACAGCTAATTTATTTATAAGATTCCATTTTTAAGCCTTGGATTTTAGTCAGCTTAATTCAACAGTGAGTAGTTTCTATCTAGATTGCTAAAAAATTTGCAATAATCACAGTTACCAACCTGGAGGAATTTATGCACCAAAGACCACTGCAAGGACATCACAGCACCACAGGCACCCAGCTCACACTGGTGTGGTGTGCTCAGCACAAGGCTGTGGGCAAATGCCAGCAGAAGGGAACTGCAGGCAGCACCAGGATAAATGACCAGGATAAATGATCACTGATCGGTTCCAAAGACAGGGTAACACTTCAGTGTTATGAGTAATTTTTAAGTGACCCTGCCATATCTAACAATGGTTCTAACAATCTTTTATGAGTAAGAGGAGATACAATTTGAGAGGTCAGTCTTAGAAGTATACCTCACTACCCAAAATGTCAGGAAACAGGGTGGGGGGGGCTTTTTTGTTTTTCTTTTCTTTTTTTTTTTTTTGTCCCCCCTCCCCCTTTTCCCCCTGTAGCACAGTGGAAGGTCTGCAGGGCTTTACACAAGAAGAATATTTTACCCTATGACCTAAACAATCTGGCCAACAGTCAGGAATATGTTATTCTAATTGCCACTAAAGTTAATGTTGTTAATGACCCTTGGTTTTTCTATACAAGCCAGTTTATGCTCTAGAAAGTTACTATTTCAGAGGAGACATAGCAAGAACTGGGAGTGTTCCTGCCTGACCTGGTGGTCCAAGGAATGTGGCAAACTTGGCAAAGCTGAAAAAGTGAATTCCCGAAGGCCCAGTTTGAAAGTTGCAGTCAGTAGAAATGCCTTCTGAGCTGTGCTCAAAACAGCTCTGTTACAGGAACAACGTGCTCCTAAAGCCAAATATTTGAAAACAGATTACATGTACCATGTTCAGCTCAAGAGCAGATTTCCCTTGCTTCAGTCAGCCTGGGACTGACAGCCCTACCACCAGGACTGTGCCTGGAGCTCAGTGTGGCACAGCCTCAGCCCAGGACCACAGGGACAGCCCAGCCACGGGAGCCACAGCAAACTGCTCTGGGGTTTTGGTTAGTGGGGCAGGACTGAAGGCAGAGCAAGGCCAGAGCCAGACTGGAGAGATGCTGATGTCTACCTACAATTTCCAGTGAAACACTTGGAAATGGGTAACACCTTGCAACACATGGGCCAGAAAAATTGAAAGGAAATCAACCTCAGCTTATTTTTTCATCTGTGGAATCAATTATGGACAGTTTGAATTTTTTATTCTGTCAACACATTACAGGGTAGGCAAGCCTTTCTATCTTTGTGCCAGTAAATTTTCTGGGGCTTTTCTTTATTTTTTTTTTAAGCCTGTGGATTTTTGAAGCTGGGGTTTATTTTAAATCTAGGGCTGCTCTTAGGAACATGCTATTTAGTGCAGGGTCATGCCTGGCTTTAAATAGGTCCA